ACTAAACGCAAATCCGCTCAGTAGGATGTTGCGCCTAAGCCTTAGCTACCATCTCCAATTTGAATCACTTAAAAAGATGGTCTAGAGAGTGAGAACTATATGAAAACGTCCAGCTGCTGCATGACTAGAATAGTGGAGGAAGTACTAACATTAGGGCATAGGAAGTTGGAGTTGGGGACTCCAAGAGAAACATGAGAGGGAAGGGGTTCTCCAAGAGCTAGGGAAGGATGCTAGGAACCTTTCCAGCAACAAGGATGCAACCCTCATCATGAGGTCCTTGAGGTGTCACATGCAAAATCCAATCTAGTTGGATTTTGCCTATGTGTTGCAACATTTGCAACCCATGCTAAAAACTTCTAGCCACCCCAATCCAAAAGTCAAAGTTGCCTTCCTAACCACCCAACCAAAGATCCCTTTGTATTCATGTCCCAAGTAATCACCCAAATTAGATATAACCCCAAAAGGTAATAAGAAATCCAAATCTTGGAAATCTTGTAACTTGGGCGATCTTGGTCGGAATAAGGCGATCTTGGTGTCGTTAGAAAGCTCTGGATTTCTCCTGCATGAACAAGCATTTAGACTTGGAGAAAAACAGAGATATGATAATATCCAACAGTCATGCACAATGACATATGCTCATGCAAACAATGCAAGCACAAATAGCACGAGCACTCGGCAGGCGCTAGGATAACATGCACTCAGAATGACGTGCATCCAACACTTCAATCTCTTGTTTGTGCCCCATGTCCTTGATGTAATTCTCCTGGTGCAACTTCACCCACCCATTGCTAATGCCCCTCTCGATGTGCATGCCCAGGTGGTAATTTGCCTCCCCCTGTTGGTGCAACCCTAGGGTTGGCACTCGGCTTGTTGTCCGTATGCGTGCATGCGTGTGTGCATGGAATGGTATGAGGGCATGGGATAATATATATTCATGCTTATAATAGTGTGTGAATGTTGAGTCATGATGTCGAGTGTGTGTGTGTTGAGTCAATAGCGAGTTATTTCTAGTCGCGTGTCACGCGGTCTTTTGTGTCCCGCGCGTGGTTTCTATTTCGACGTTTGTGTATGTCGCGCGGTTTCAGTTTTGTCGTGTGTGGAACGTTCGTGGTGTCGCAGGTGTGTGCAGCAGAACCATCAAGAACTCAAGGATGAGTGTATGAGGAAGAATCAGAGCTTTTGTTTCAACATACAAGTGATCGCGAAGCCCGCGAAAAGGGTACACCTCAAGATATTGAGAATAGTTACATTACTTTGTGTAGTGTAACATTTCACTTGGTGTAGGCCCTTGTGAAGGGTAGTTTCGAGACCCTTCTTGGTTGGGGACAGTGTGGCACTGTTCCACATCACTGTACCTCGGCTCTTGGGGTTTGTAGGAGCTGGGAGTCATTCCCAACTCGGAACTCTTCCTAATTTGTGTTATAAGACTATAGTGGCTACCATAGTGCCGTTCGTTCAAACCGACGATGTGTCGTCAATACTTGGTGAAGTCATGCGATCTAAATTGCCCAGTGTAGGCGACTTTAAGGCGCTCCAGGTCCAATTTGAATCAGGTCATTTGAAGCTGTGACCATAACGCTATAAACATTTAAAGCCGCTGTGCAGAAATCCGACTATGCACTCTATCTTTCGTTTTAGGCACATTGAAGCCTACTATGTCTATAACATCCATGTGGTCTTCCATTGAAGTTTTGCATCAGCTTCTGATATACCTTTAGCACCTCCTTCTTGCTGCTCCTGAACAACAAGATGTCATCCACGTAAAGAAAGAACATGACGACGACCTCCTTCCCCCCCATGAGGAAAAGACTCTCATCACACGCGCTTGTCCTGAAGCCAATCCCCTCTAACACTAAAGCCAACTTCTTGTACCTGCAGTGTGGTACTTGTTTTAGGCCTTAAATGACCTTCTTCAGCTTGCACACACGCCCAGTACCGTCCTCATAGCCCGTCCAGCTGCAACATGAACACATCGTCATCTACCAGCTTATAGAGGAAGGCGGTGGTAATATCCATCTGCAGTATCACCCACCCACACACAGCTGCATTGGCGAGGAGAACACGCAGTGTTGGCGGCTTTGCAGTTGCAGTGAAGGTCTCCTTGTAGTCCTCCTTTTATTTTTTTTTGGTAACCCCTTGTAACCAGCCTACTCTTGTAAACTGATATGGCTCCTTTGTTGTTAGTTATAACCATGGGAATCCAGCGACATTTTATGTCTTTCTTCCCCATTGGTAGCGACACCAGCTCCCACGTCCCATTCTCGAATTGGCTCTTGTATTTAGCATCTCGTGACACCAACTACTTGTCCTTGTCCAGTACGTTAAGGGCTTCCTCCATGGTCACTGGCTGAGTTGGTGCAGGTGCCATGAAGCTGTACACCTCCTTCTCTGCCTTTTTATCGAAATCACAGCTGCTCTCTAGCACCAGCAATGTATAATGTTGCTGCTGTTCTCCCCTTGTTCCTCCTTCACCCCTTGCCTTCGCCTTCTAGGTGGCAGCTCGCATCTGCCTCGTCATCATGGTTGAGAAGATCCGTCCTGTGGGTTGGGTTTTGGTTTGAGTCCTCCTCTAGGGAAGAGTGGGGGGAATGACACGTGTTATAGGATGTGGTTCTTCAGTTTCAGCCATTGGCTCCATACTTTAGACCACGGGGAGCTCTGTTGCACCCTCCTCCTCGTGTGCCATTGCAATCTCCTCCCTAACCCACTCCTCCTGCACTTCAAACCCCATTGTTGCTTACTGTAGTTGCTGCACGAGCTGCTCCTTTGGCTGCTTGGACCAGCTCCCGTAGGTGATGTGTTCCATGAACTTGATATCCCTGTTATCAAACACAACTCCCTTGCTCGGCTCCCATGGAACACTTGGAGAAGGAGGCATGGGAGATGCGGAGGAAAGGGGTGCCGCAGGAGAAACGAGCCGAGAGGTTGAATGACCACCTGGGGATTCTAGAAAGGTACCCGGATCAAGAAGAGGAGGAAGAAGAGTGGTGGGAAGGAGAGCCAGAGATGGACTGGGACTCAGAGCAAGAGGAGGATCCCACGGACAGGTGGATTCCCGACCCCGATGAAGTATTCCTGGGGCCGAGCCGTGTGTATATGGCGAGCGGGGTGGAAGCGGAAGGGATCAGTGAGCAACAACCAACGGAAGGAGAAGAGGGGATAAGGAAAGAACCATAGGAACAAGAAAGTGTGGGGGAGACGGCGGTCGAAGAAGGACAAGGAGGAGAAAAGGGGGCAGCGCGGACAGCAGAGCCGGAGACCCACTGGGACATTGGTGGGGAGATGGCAATACGGCTGGAGGCGGTCTTGGAGGACCGTCCAGTCCTGCTGAGGCCAACTACTCATCCTACGAAGGGGAGGGATTGGCGGCAGCTTGGGAGGTGGGGCATTTCAGGGTGTATCTGCAGGGGCGGCACTTCACACTGGTGACAGATCACCAGCCACTGCTCTGGCTGATGCACAACTAGACGCTGACACATAGAAACGTCCGGTGGGCGATGAAATTGCAGGAATACGACTTCACTGTGAAGCACACGCCAGGCAAGACAATGCAACACGTGGACGGACTGTCCAGGAATACCCCTCGCGGAGAGAAGAGCAGGAACCAGAGCAAGAGCCGCCCTCTACAGCACTGACTGTCATGGTGAGTGAGCGGAGGCCAGGAGGAGAGCAGCAGAGGGGAGCAGCAGACGTGTGGCAGGACAAGGAGACGCTGGCCTGGATAAAGGGAGAGACGGCAGAAGACAGAGGCGCAGGGGCAAGAGCGAGAGCGCGGGGACAACATTACAGTTGTTCCAAGGGCAAGTACAGCTGCAGACAAAGGATGGATGGAAAAGGGTGCCGGCGCCAGCTGAGAGGGAGAGTATCATACGGGAGGTACACAGCAAGCTGGGGCACTATGGGCCTCTGGGAACTAAGCAGCTGCTGCAGACTGGGTGGTGGTGGGCAGGGATGCGCAAGGAGGTGAAGGAGTGGGTGGAGAAGTGTGAGCTGTGCTGCAAGAACAAAGCCAGCCTGCTGAAGAGTCAGGCAGAACTCCAGCCCCTGGCCATTGTGGAGCTAGGGTACCGCTGGTCCCTAGACAACACGGGAGAACTGCCAGTGTCACGGAGGGGCAAGAGGTATGTCTTGCTCATGATAGAGCACGTGAGCAAGTGGGCTGAGGCAATACCACTGGTGGCAAACACAGCGGAGGTGGTGGCAGAGGCTTTTGAGAAGATGGTGCTGACGAGTTTCGGGGCGTGCGGTGAGGTGCTCACTGTTCAAGGGATGGAGTTTCAAGGGGAATTCAAGGAGCTGCTGGCGGAGAATGACATCCAGCACCGAACGACATCCAGGTATCATCCCCAGAGTGACAGACTCACGGAGTGGCTGGTACAATCTGTGAAGAAAGGCATCAGAGCATATGGGGAGGCACACAAGGGAGACTGGGACAGAAAGCTGGCATAGGTAATGGCGGGGTACAGTTTCAGCAAGCAAGCGTCCCAAAAGGACGTCTTCTCGTACTACCTGCACTTCAAAAAGCAGCCCATCCTGCCAGTGGATGCGCCGAGGCTGCTGGTGGACAGCGTGACAGCCAGGACAGCAGAGAAGTGGGTGGCACTGGCGGATGCCAGAGCCAGGTACCAGAAGAAGATGATACCTGCGGCGATGGAGAGCTTGAAGGTGGCGCAGCTGCGTAACATTCACGGCTACAAGTAGCGGCAAATAAACAAGATGCAGGACAAGCAGCCACTGATAGAGGAAGGGCAAGTAGTGTACGTGCGACGGGCAAAGCGAGACGGACTGGACGTGAGAGAGGAAAGGAGAGAAGTACGAACGAGGAGGAGAGAGAGGGATGAGGCGAGGAGTTGAGGGAGAGCCACCCGTGGCGAAACCCTCGTAGTAACCCCCTTTTACAAAGGGGGGAGGTGAGAGAGTGACGCGAGGAGATGAGGTGGGGGGGAGCCAAGCGCCGCAAAACCCCTCCTAGTAACCCCCAAATCCCCACACCCACTCAACTACCCCCCCTTAACCTCACCCCCCATAACAGCCGCCCCCTGGGACCGCACCCCCTTCCCCCTTTTCTTCCTCCACACCCCTGCCCCACCCACAGCAGTCCCTGCAGAATCCTTACCACCACCCCCTCAGCCTCCCCCACTCCCCCCTAACGGCAGAAGTGGGAGGGAGCAAGAGGAAGAAGAGGCGGCAGTTCTGCTCCATCTCACGGCGACACTGGCGGGGGTCTCTGCTGGCGGTGGCGCTGCTGGCAGGGTCTCTGCCGGCGGTGTAGCTGTTGGCGGGGGTCTCTCTACTAGCGGTGTAGCTGCTAGCGAGGTCTCTCTGCTGGCGGTGTAGCTGCTGGCGGGGTCTCTTTGCTGGCGGTGTAGCTGCTGGTGGGGTCTCTACTGGCGGTGTAGCTGCTGGCGGGGTCTCTACTGGCGGTGTAGCTGCTGGCGGGGTCTCTCTGCTGGCGGTGTAGCTGCTGGCGGGGTCTCTGCTGGCGGTGTAGCTGCTGGCGGGGTCTCTGCTGGCGGTGTAGCTGCTGGCGGGGCCTCTGCTGGCGGTGTAGCTTCTGGCGGGGTCTCTGCTGGCGGTGTAGCTGCTGGCGGGGTCTCTCTGCTGGCGGTGAAGCTGCTGGCGGGGTCTCTCTGCTGGCGGTGTAGCTGCTGGCGGCTGGCACTGGTGCGGGTGCCTGGTGTCAGTGCTGGTGCTGATGCTGGCGGACGTCCCGCCGTCACCCCTTTTCCTCTTTTCGCCTCCCCCCCACAGTGCTCCACCGCCACTCCCTTCCCCTCCTCCCTCTCCCCCCCAAGCGACCGCTGCTGCACCTGCGAACAGTCGCGACGGGGGGGGGGGGGGGGGACGGGTAGGGGGCGGGCGAGCGGGCGGGTTGCGCGGATGGGTTGCACGGACTGGGTGCGCAGGCTCCAGTGTAGGCGGCCGCCGCTGGGGTGTCAGGCTGGCGCATCGGTTGGCGAGTTGGCGGATGCGTCGGTTGGCGAGCTGGCGGATGCGTCGGTGGGCGAGCTGGCGGGTGCGTCGGTTGGCGAGCCGGCTGGCGTGCTCGTCGGTGGGTTCGACGGCAGGGTCGCCCAGGTGCGTGGGCGAACGCTCTGGCGATTTCGTTGGCGATTTTGCCGCGGGTTGCTGGTGGGTCCGCTGGCATTCGCCATAGCATCCGCCGCGGCCGTCATGATGAGCGCCGCGACGCGAGTGACAGCCGTGAACGTACTCGCCGTGGCGCCCGTCACTAAGGTCGCAACTAAGGACGTGACGGGAGCCATTAATAGGTCAGGATGTTACAAGCTCAATACCATGTCGCGATAGCATCTTAACTAGCGAACGGGTTTAACTAGTAGGCCTAGGCTTAGGAGCCTAGGCCAAGCGGGAGTCGAGAGAGTTGTGCCTAGGAGAATATCGAGAATCATTGGCTTCACTACAGGTTTGCAAGAACATATAGCAAAGAAACAAAGAAGGTGCACCACCAAACAAGGAATGAAAGAACTACACTACAATAACTACAGCAAGCAGGATAGATATTAAATATAACTTTAACACACCCCCTTCTCCTGCTTTCAGTAGTAACTAGTGCAGTCAGCACCCCCTGACGGAGTACACCTGGCGCAGCAGAAGACGGTAGGGGGGTAAGTGAGGAGAAGGAGGCGAGAGAGAGAGACAGGAGAGGAAAGGAGAGAAGTACGAACGAGGAGTTGAGGGGGAGCCACCCGTGGCGAAACCCTCGTAGTAACCCCGTTATACAAAGGGGGGAGGTGAGAGAGTGACAAGGAGAAGAGGTGGGGGGGAGCCAAGCGTGGCGAAACCCCTTTTAGTAACCCCCAAATCCCCACACCCACTCAACTACCCCCCTTTAACCTCACCCCCCATAACAGCCGCCCCTTGGGACCGCACCCCCTTCCCCCCTTTCTTCCTCCACACCCCTGCCCCACCCGCGGCAGTCCCTGCAGAATCCTTACCACCACCCCCTCAGCCTCCCCCCCTCCCCCCTAACGGCAGAAGTGGGAGGGAGCGAGAGGAAGAAGAGGTTGCAGTTCTGTTCCATCTCACGGCGACAGTGGCGGGGGTCTCTGCTGGCAGTGGCGCTGCTGGTGGGGTCTTTGCCGACGGTGTAGTTGTTGGCAGGGGTCTCTTTGCTGGCGGTGTAGCTGCTAGCGGGGTCTCTCTGCTGGCGGTGTAGCTGCTGGCGGGGTCTCTCTGCTGGCGGTGTAGCTGCTGGCGGGGTCTCTACTGGCGATGTAGCTGCTGGCGGGGTCTCTCTGCTGGAGGTGTAGCTGCTGGCGGGGTCTCTCCTGGCGGTGTAGCTGCTGGCAGGGCCTCTGCTGGCGGTGTAGCTGCTGGCGGGGTCTCTGCTGGCGGTGTAGCTGCTGGTGGGGTCTCTCTACTGGCTCTAAAGCTGCTGGCGGGGCCTCTGCTGGCGGTGTAGCTGCTGGCGGGGTCTCTGCTGGTGGTGTAGCTGCTGGCGGGGTCTCCCTGCTGCCGGTGAAGCTGCTGGCGGGGTCTCTCTGCTGGCGGTGTAGCTGCTGGCGGCTGGCACTGGTGCGGGTGCCCGGTGTCGGTGCTAGTGCTGATGCTGGCGGACGTCCCGCCGTCACCCCTTTTCCTCTTTTCGCCTCCCCCCCACAGTGCTCCACTGCCACTCCCTTCCCCTCCTCCCTCTCCCCCCCAAGCGACCGCCGCTTCACCTGCGAACAGTCGCGACGGGGAGGGGGGGGGAGACGGGTAGGGGGCGGGCGAGCGGGCGGGTTGCGCGGATGGGTTGCACGGACTGGGTGCGCAGGCTCCAGTGTAGGCGGCCGCCGCTGGGGTGTCAGGCTGGCGCATCGGTTGGCGAGTTGGCGGATGCGTCGGTTGGCGAGCTGGCGGATGCGTCGGTGGGCGAGCTGGCGGGTGCGTCGGTTGGCGAGCCGGCTAGCGTGCTCGTTGGCGGGTCCGACGGTAGGGTCGTAGGTGCGTGGGCAAATGCGCTGGCGATCTCGTTGGCGATTTCGCTGCGGGTTGGTGGCGGGTCCGCTGGCGTTCGCCATAGCGTCCGCCGCGGCTGTCATGATGTGCGCCGCGACGCGACGGACGGCCGCGAACGTACTCGCCGTGGCGCCCGTCACTAAGGTCGCAACTAAGGACGTGACGGGAGCCATTAATAGGTCAGGATGTTAAAGTCTCAATACCATGTCACGATAGTGTCTTAACTAGCGAACGGGTTTAACTAGTAGGCCTAGGCTTAGGAGCCTAGGCCAAGCGGGAGTCGAGAGAGTTGTGCCTAGGAGAATATCGAGAATCATTGGCTTCACTACAGGTTTGCAAGAACATCTAGCAAAGAAACAAAGAAGGTGCACCACCAAACAAGGAATGAAAGAACTACACTACAAAAACTTCTGCAATCAGGATAGATATTAAATGTAACTTCAACACACCCCCTTAGCCTGCTTTCAGTAATAACTAGTGCAACCAACACCCCCTGAAGGAGTACACCTGGCGCAGCAGAAGACGGTAGAGGGGTAAGTGAGGAGAAGGAGGCGAGAGAGAGAGAGAGAGAGAGAGAGAGAGAGAGAGAGAGAGAGAGAGAGAGAGAGAGAGAGGAGAGGAAAGGAGAGAAGTACGAACGAGGAGTTGAGGGGGAGCCACCCGTGGCGAAACCCTCGTAGTAACCCCTTTATACAAAGGGGGGAGGTGAGAGAGTGACGAGGAGAAGAGGTGGGGGGGAGCCAAGCGTGGGGAAACCCCTCTTAGTAACCCCCAAATCCCCACACCCACTCAACTACCCCCCCTTAACCTCACCCCCCATAATAGCCGCCCCTTAATCCCCAGACCCGGAACTCCGACGCATCGCCAACCTTCTCCGTCCACAGCAAGACTGGGGAGGTCTCCGGCCTGGAGACCCTGGGGTGTAGGTTGATCTGATGCGCCGCGTACCTAACCGCAAACGGCCACAGAAAATGGGGAGCAGCCGCATGCATCATAGACGTACGAGCGACGTCCATGACCATGCCAATGCGGCGCTCAGCAACCCCATTTTGCTGCGGGGAGTCCGGAAGCGTGAAGGTCTGACGGATGCCTCGTGCGCGACAGTAGGCTCTCAGAAGTCCGGAGGAAAACTCTCCGCCTCTGTCCGAGTGCAGACGCAGAACAGGAAAGTCCGAGCCAAAGCTCTGCCTGAGCTGAAGACGAGCTGCGCGGATCCAGTCGATCAGCACCTCAGTGACATCACCCTTGCTGCGCAAGGGGAAGACTGCGGTGTAACGCGAGTAGTCGTCAACAACGAGCAGGAAGCAGCGCTCGTGACCCTGTCCACGGACGCGGGCTGGGCCCCACACGTCCATGTGAAGCGTCTGCAATGGGGCCTCTGTCGGAGGAAACTGGGAGGAGTGAGGGGCAGCACGCTGGCGCCCCTCGACACAGGGGACACAGGTAGGGCCAGGGCCCTGAGGAAGGGGAGGGAGGGACCGGGGGAGACCAGAAACAAGAAGACGGGAGGCCATGCCTCTGAGCCGAAGCAGAGAAGGGTGACCAAGGCGGTGGTGCCGGAGGAGAGTCTTGTGAGACAGGAGACGACACGAACAGGGGGCAGACTCAGGACCAGACCTGGACGCTGCAGCAAACACCTGACCCGACGCAGCTACCCTACCAGACTCAGCAACTGTAGGAGACGCAGTGGTCAGTGTGTACAAGCTCGACCCAGGCTGACGGGTGAACGTAGCCAGGTGTCGGCCTGTGCTAGCCTCTGTGCAGTGCGTCACCCGCTGACGCGCAGGAGTGAACTGGTGGACTCCCCCATCCTGTAGGTCAGCACCACTCACCAGGTTCGTAAAGAACAAGGGGAGGTAGAGACCAGACAGGGTGCCAGAGGGAGCCGCCGGACACGGGTGGACTGTGGAGAAGTGAGACAGGACAGGACCCCCAGAGGGGTCAGCCAGAGACACCGGAACCGGCCGACTAAACGGCGTGAGTGTGGTACGGTCCCGAAAGAAGGAGCGAAAAGCCCTAGAGTCAAGGGTGAAGGTGAGGGAGGCCGAAGCCGACGTGGTACCTGAGAGCGCAGACTCACCAGTACCTGAGGACGCAGACGCACTAGCACCTAGAGCAGCAGCGTCGCAAGCACCTAGGGCAGCCGCCTCACCAGTACCTAGAGCAGCAGTCTCAATGCCCGGATCGGGCGGGAAACACCGGTAACAGTCACCCTCATCACTAATAGACACAGCATACATGGCAGAAAGAATAGCATCAAAGTCAAGATCATAGATGGCAACTCCCGCCCTAGACAGCTCGCCCCAGCAAGGGATCTCTGTCGCCTCGGGGAACTGGCGACGCCACGCGTTCGTCAGGCGGCCAAAGCAGCGCTGGGTGGGGTGCTCACCCCCACACTGCTCACCCGCACGGTCGCCGGTGCGCAGGACGTAGGTGCACGGACCAGAACCCCCACCCCACTGGCGTGCAGTGTACCACTCACGGAGCGGCTGAGGGGACAGGGTCTCACGACCGCGCTGCTGCTGCTGGCGCGGACCACCAACGGAGCCACTCCTCAGCGTAGACCCGCGACCAGCTCCACCGCCACCTCCGCCGCCTCCGCTGCCTCCGCCGCCTCCGCCACCACCGCCGCCTCTGCCACCACCGCCGCCTCCGCTACCACCGCCTCCTCCGCTCCCTCCGCCACTGCCGCCGCCTCCGCCCCCACTACTGCCACCGGTACCCCCACCTCCTCCACCACTCCCACCACCACTCCCACTCCCTCCGCCGCCTCCACCACCACCTCCACCGCCCCCGCCAGCTCCTCCAGCGCCCTTGCCCCCCTTGCCCTTGCCTGAGCGGCGCTTCCCCGAAGGGGCAGACGCAGCACCGACGGACTCAAAACCAACGAGGTCGGCCGCAGCAGCAGAAGCAACAGAGGGCAAGAGGGGGGAGGGAGAACACCCCTCAAAGACAGGGGTGCGGGGGTCACCACGAGAGGCTCCTACAGCGACTATGCTGAGAGTGGTGGGGCACACTTTGAGGAAGTGGTCCCTGACTACCCTAAGGGAGTCAGGGAGGCGAGTGACTAAGAAGTAGAGGGTGATGTACATGGGGGGGGGGTTCTTGGCACAGAAGTCAGCAGGAAGTGCAGCGTGGTAGCGAGCGTTACTAGTGCGGAGGTGCGTAATGAGGTTAGCTACTGTGGGAAAGGCAGCAAGGTCAAGGAAGAGGTACGGCAGCATGAGACGGCTCAGTGCAGCAGTGGCAGGGGAGGAGTAGCGCGCAACTACAGCGTCGTACAAGGTCTGAGCACTCTTGTACTGACTAAACTACGCACGCTCGGAGGTAGGCAGGTGGCGACGCACAGCAAGACGTGCAGCAGCGTCGCGCGTGGCCCACTGTGAGCGAACAGTGGCGTCAGCATCAGCAGCAGGGGCAGGGGAAGCGCCAGAGGTGAGGTCAAAGTGAGAGAGGCCGTCTGCCCTATCGCACTATAAGAATACCTGCATGTCATCTACCCAGACCTCAAAGTCAATGGCCCGACCCTCAGTGTCAAAAGCGAGGACACTAGGGGTAGCCATGACCACAGTAGACTAGCAGTGCAGACAGTAGGGTGAGGCCAGTGCAGTGAAAGAGGCACTGTGCTTACCGGACGGGGCAGCTCGGGCGGCTCGGCAGTAGGGCGGCTCGGCTGCCTGGCGGCTCGGCTGCCTGGCGGCTCGGCGGCTCGGCAGCAGTGCGGCTCGGCGGCTGGGCGGCTCGGCTGGAGTGCGGCTCGGCTGCACGGCGGCTCGACTGTACGGCGGCTTGGCTGCTGGGCGGCTCGGCTGCAGGGCGGCTCGGCTGCTCGGCTGTTGGGCGGCTCGGCTGTCCGGCTGCTCGGTTGCCTGGGCGACTCGGCGATGCTGCTGTAGGGCGGCGCGGCGGTCGGCTGCTCGGCTGGGTGGGTCGGGTCGGGCAGCTCGGGTGGTGGGCGGCGCTGCAGCAGGTGACGGGGCCGCAGATGAGAGCGGCGGAGCCGCCAGTGAGAGTGGCGGGGCCGCAGGTGAGAGTGGCGGGGCCGGCAGTTGAGGGCGGCGTGGCCGCAGCAGAGGGCGGCGGGGCCGCAGCAGAGGTTGGCTGGGCCGCAGGTGAGGGCAGCGGAGCCGCAGCAGAGGGCGGCAGGGCCGCAGCTGAGAGCGGCGGGGCCGCAGTAGTTGAGGGCGGTGGGGTCGCAGTTGAAAGCGGCGGGCCGCAGTTGAGGGCGGCAGGGCCGTGTAGCGAGACGGCGGGGCCGTGAGAAGGGCGGCGACGGGCCGCTGCTAGGGCGGCGACGGGGCCGCTGGTGAAAGGGCGCCGCGACGCGGCCATTAGGGCTGCGCGACGCGACTGTAAGGGCGGCGCGACGGGCCGCTAAGGGCGACGCGACGGGCCGCTAAGGGGACGCGACGGGGCCGCTAAGAAGGGCGCGACCCTAGGTGCGCTTCGGGCAGGGGCAGGACGCGCCCCGGGTAGGAAAAAAAAAGGGATCGGTGGGCCCTAGGAACAGTTCCCACGAGGGAATCTGCTCGATACCATGAGAAAGTGTGAACGAGGATGAATGAACTATGAATGAACTGAATACAAGTACTAACCCTAATTGGGTTGTACCCCTTATGGGCTACCCCACTATAGCCTACACAATAAGCACAAGCTATATGTTCTGACAGCAAGGATCGAGGCGATGGGGAGGCGTCGTGCTCGATGGTTGACGTGGTGGAGCCGAAAGTCTCGCTGTCACCGGACTTCATGGCGGTCGCGGCCGCATGCAAGCGAATCTGGCGGTGGTGCTGCTCGATAGTGGTTGCTCGCACCACCTCGTGGAAATCAAGGAGGCCTTCGTCTACATGGCACTGAGTGGCGACGTGAAGCATGTGTGCAACTTCAACGGGGCTCTGCAGACCGTCGAGGGCCGTGGCACCGTCGCACATCAAAGGGAGGCCGGGAAGCAGGTCCTCGTCCCCGACGTGCTCTACGTCCCGAGCGTGCATGCGAACCTGCTCTCTGCCGGCCAGCTGAAGGACAGCAGCGTAAAGCTATAGGACGACGGCGATGTGATGCTGCTCATCTCGGCGACGCGGAATGTGCTTGGTCGGGCACGTTACACCGGCCGGGTCCTTTGCACTGAACTTAGTCACTTCTCGACGGAGTCGACGTCGACGTCGACCGAGGTGGTGGCACTGCAGAAGGTCGCCTCCGCAATGAAGTTGTTTCCGGATATGTGGCACGCGAGGCTCGCGCATGTCGATGTCGTCACGATCAAGATCTCTGGAAAGTTGTCACCGACCTCGACCTCAAGCCTTCGACCCGGGCCAGCTTGCCGTGTGTTTCGTGCATCGGCGGGAAGCTGGCGTGGCACATCTTCCCCGACCAGGGGTCGGATATTAAGTTAAGAGAAGCCATGGATGACTAGAGAGTTACGTGAAGGAGTGAAAACATTGTTCTAGGAAAGAGTGCCGAGATACAATTGTATAAAGGAGTGGAAACCCTTATTGAACTGGGTGTGTTCAGTTTATGCCGTAGCTACGAAATGAACCTACATTGAACCTGAAAGCGTAACTCGCTCTAAGCATGGCAAAATAATACAAGAACACCAAAATGAAGACCACAGCAAACTCTAGCCTACTCCAACACACCCCCAGGATTGGTGAAGCTTTGGAACAAAACACCTAGCGAACCGGAACACCCCCTGAAGTGGCAAGACGATTGAGCCCAAGCACGTGCATGTGGCGCACGAATAAGGGCCTTAGTGAAAATGTCAGCAAGGTTGGCAGTAGTGGCCACCTTGCGAAGGTAGAGGAAACCAGACTACACCAGCTCACGCACGAAGAAGTAGCGGACCTCGATGTGTTTGCTGCGAGCCTGATAAACATGATTTTTAGTGAGGTGAATCCTGACCGCTCTGTCACAGGCTAGCGTCACAGAGGGCTGAGAGTGACCTAGTTCAGCAAGGAGAAAGGAGAGCCAGCAAGCCTCCTGAGCTGCCAATGGGCCTGCGTACAACCCAAATCCAAGTCACTGGCTTTGAAGGTGCATGGGAGCAGATATGCCGTGCAGGTGCAGGAGACAAGGCAGATGGCACTGAATCCCTTGTGCGGACATACGCAGCGGATGTTTTCGCTGACGGGGTACGGGAAAGCACCGTATCAACACCCACAACGAGCTGCGAGACGCATGCATTAGCATGGCCCAAGACGCGGGGTTCATAGTCCATAGCGAGACCACGACATACTGCCCCATCGAGGAACAGACCGCGGACTTTACGATGACGGACAGAAGCAGTGGGGCTGTCTACGTGTGCGACATCACCGTCACGGATCCCATCCGCACGAGAGACCCGGAGGCACAGAAGGGCAGGCGCTGGGCGGCTCGGGAGCAGGCTAACAAGAAGATCCAACACTACGATGCCCGGCCAGAGACGGTGAATTTCTTCCCTCTGGCGGTGGATACCTACGGCTGCCCTTGCGCCGAGGTGCCTGTTTTCCTAAAGCTATTGGCGGACACTGCAGCTCGGCGCCACTTCAACGCCGATTCTATATCATTCTATGCTGCAAAGTTCCTACATCGGTTCAGGCAACGTTGGTCAGTGGCCCTCCAAAGGGCTCAGTCTGTGGGCCTCCTGCTCAAGCTAGGGGAGGCGGCGGCTGCAGAGAACCCGCTTGTGGGGGGGATTGGAGATGTGTTACACCTTTGGGACTGCTTTGCAGTCATTGAGCCCCTAGTGGAGCTGTAGAGGGGACTTGTGGTTTTTGTGGCTTGCCTGTTCGTTTGTTACCTAGTGCCTATAACTTGCATGCTTGTACTCTCTTGCTATATCAATACAATGTCCATTAGAGAGAGAGATGGCATAGCTCAGTCCTTAGCCATTTATAGGCCTCTCTTCCCTAAGATCCAGTCCTTAGCCATTTCTAGGCCTGTTTCCTTAGTACAAAGGCTCTGGATCTAGGCTTGTAAGCTCATTACTCACTGGTGAGTTAGGTTCACTCTCCAAATCCGGTGGCTCGCGCCGGCCGCCTTCGGCGGTCGCCGCTCGCCAGCGCGGCCGAGGCCGCGCGTGAGGGGTGGCAAGGGTACAAGCAACACAAGACCTTTAACAGCATGTGGTACATCAGGAGCCACTAGCAGGGAAGAACAAGAACACCACCCCCTGGCCAGAGGATTCCGGCATGGGGAAGCCCAAGGCAAGGCCCAACACCACGGGAGCCTGCAAGGGAAAACCACCTGTTACTCGGCGAGGATCCAGCACAGCCTCCCGTCCATCCAGCGCAGGACCGATGCGGCTGCTGACACAAGACCGAGTGGGCTCCCCCGGGCAGACCCAGCAAGCCTTACCATTGCCCGGGGACCAGGCCCGAGCGCGGCGCCAGGAGCGCCAGGCACAAGGCCAATCAAAGGTAGATAGTGCAGCATCTCCGTTGCCGCTGCCACAGCCGCAGACCGCTCTGCTGGCAACATCCCCCCAATCTCCAAGCCTTGCCGCGCCAAACACATGTGGAGCTGGTCCAGTACGTATGATAGCAATGTTAAGCACGTCCCCACGTGCGCAACGCGCTGCTCGACGAGGGGAGGCGTCGCGGCTACAGGAGCAGCAGCGTGAGGAGCAGGCGGGACAGGAGGGAGTGGCGGCGCTGGAGGCGCCGGCGGATGGTGAGGCGGACGCTGGGGCAGGGGAAACGAGTTCACGGGAGGATGCTGCTGCTAAGGAGCCTGGTTTGACGGTGGGGGCGGAGACTGTTGTTGCTTTGACAGCTGATTCGATGGAGGTGGAGCGGGTGGAGCGCTGGCCTGCTGCCGAGACTGCTGCCGCCTCTGACGGCGGCTTAGTCTCGCCCGTGGTGGCGCGGCCGGCGGCGACGATGTCACCGGCGGACAAGGATCTGGCTGCGGAGGAGGTACAGGGGGAGCAGTGGCTGCCCGATCCACCGACGCCAGCAGTGGCAGATTCCCCGCCAACTCTCGAGGAGACTGAGATTGCGGTGGTCGTGGCTGAGGCAGCGAGGCAACAAGGACAACCCCCGAGCGAAGCAGGCGCGCCGATTGCCGCTGTGTCTGCCGGAATGCCTGCTGCTGCCGCGGCCGCAAACACGCAGGAGCACGGCCAGGCGGAGCGTGGAATTGAGGGCCCTGCGATCGCCGTCGCTTCCGGCGCCGCCCCGGCAAGGAGGAAGACGAAGCTGCGCACGCAGCCAGCACCGAGGCGGCCTAGAGCAGGGCTGGGACCTGGGGCCCCGGGACCCCTCCTGGGCTGGCTTCGGCAAGGGCAGTCGCCACCAGAGCAAGCGCATTCGTTGCCATCAGCGCCACAGCCTGCGGTGGGACCCAGCATGGGGAGCAACATGGGTGAGGTTGGTCAAGCATAACGGGGCGCCGAGTAGTCTAGTCCGAGGCAACAACCAATTATCACACCCACGACCCAGCAGGAGACTTACCGAGAAACGCGGAGCTCGACGCGAGGCCGGGGAATCGTGTGGGGCAGGCCGTCAGGTGCGGGACGAGCAACTATGGCGACCCCCTGGGTCCTGGGTGGTAGGGGTTTAGGGAGCGAGTTTATCCCATCGCACTCTGAGGGATCGGAGGAGGTCTCGCTTGGCGATCACGAGAATCAGAATGTGGTTGAGCAGAGGCGAGTGAGGAGGGGGGAGCAAGGTGGTATGCCACATCCTCCCAATATGCCAGCAGGACAGGCTGCAGATGCGCCAGCGCGGCCATCCGAGAAATTACCCGCTGAGGTGGCGAAGGATGAGTCTATCTGGCAACTGGCCAGCACTTGGGATATCGCGCCGCTTCAGCGAGCAGACCAACCATTTCTGGTGAGACGGTTGCCTCCAAAGATCTTGGAAAGCTACACCTTGTGCCTTCTGGCACCACTGCTGCGGCTGGCCACACACCCAGACTGCATGGGGGCGTGGACTGTGCTGCAGTTCTTGCCCCGTTTGACCCTTTGACCTCTCCCAGAGCCAGTGGAAGGGAACCGCTGGATAACGATTGAGACTCGGCTGCACCACTTTAGGCTTGGAGACCTGGCCGATCTCTACAGTGCGGCGTGCGTGATCCCCAATACTGGAGCTCTGACACGTCATCAGCCAGACGAGGCAGGCCTGTGTGCGCGAGCAGAAGGGCTGATAAAGAAGGCCAACATTTCAAAAGCAGTGTCTGCGTTACAAGTGACCCCGCTAGCGGAACAAACACCCGCTACACTCGCAGCCTTACAGGCGAAACACCCTGTTGGGGAAATACCAATTCCGAGCTGGGTAACCAACCGCACCGGGGCGCCAGCCTCGTCTTTGAACCTGACCCCAAGCGACGTTCGCGAAATACTCGCGAAGTGCCCGAATGGAGTTGGAGCTGGGCCCTCAGGCACCTGTTTCGAGCACTTGAAGGACCCGGCCCACTGCAGCGCGGAAATCATCCTACTCCTCACCAAGGTCATCGGCCAGCTACTCAACAGCGCACAAACAAGAGAGATACGGGACATCCTCCTTCCGTCCCGGCTGATAGCACTCGAGAAGCCAGGGGGGGGGGCGTACGACCTATCGCTATAGGAGAGGCCTTGCTTAGGGTAGCAGCGAAGGCGGCACTACGCGAGTTAGCCCCAACGATTCGCGACTTCTTCCTCCCTGTTCAGTATGGTGTGTCCGTGCCTGGCGGGGCCGAGTGCGTCATCCACACTGTACGCGCTTTACTCCGGGAACACGAACACTACGTCGCGCTTCAGCTGGATATAGAAAACGCGTTTAATTCGGTTGAGCGGGAGGCGCTTTTCTCGGCACTAGAGATCTCGGACCTGCACCAGCTGCTGCCGTTTGTCGGAACGCTGTATAACTCACCCTCGCGTCTTCTGGTCGACCCGGCCCTAGGAGTGGAGCACATCATGAGCTCCCGCGGCGTGCGTCAGGGTGGTCCCCTCGGCCCACTCCTCTTTGCAGTGGCGATCCAGCCGACCCTGATGTGCGCGGCAACTTTGCACCTAGGAGTAGCTGTCATAGCGTACGCCGACGACATCACAGTAGTGGGGCCACGGGAGGATGTGTTCAACGCCTTTGATGACATCGTCACAGGGTTGGCAAAGCGCGGGCTGCGGTGCAACGTGGCAAAGTCATCGGCGTGGGGACCACAGGAGGGGGATGAGGGGCAGATGGGACTGCCACATGGTTTGCGGATGAGTACGGAGGGGATCAAGGTGCTTGGCAGCCCCATCGGCACACCAGAGTACTGCACCTCAGAGGTCCGATAGGCGCTCACCAAAGCATCGGCACCCGTCCCTCTTATCACGCAGCTACACCCGCAACACACCCTACTACTTCTCTATCGCAGCATCTCGCACTGGATCTCATTCCTGCTCCGCACCAGACCAAGCAGCGCATTGGAACGTGAGGAGTGGCGGGCTTGGAGCGAGTCACTGGTGGGAGCGGCGCTTGCTGCAGCCAAGCTACGGGTCCCGGCTAGCGAGCTGGAACAGAGCCTCCTGTGGCGACAGGCTACTCTGCCCGTGCGCCTCGGAGGGCTGAGCATCATCGATCCCGTCTCTGAGGCACCGGCGGCATACATTGCGTCACTAACAGCAGCACATCACCTACTTCAGCAGATGAACTTGCGGGAGCAGGAGCTGCTAGCGCGGGCGGAGACACTGCTGTCCAGAGAGTGGATCCCAACGCCCCCAGCGTCAAACGTGCTGGTTACTTTGGAGGAGGGGTTGCCGCCCGAGGCACGGTCGGCACTACAGTCCTACAGGGAGGGCCCTCAGGGGCAGGGTAACTCGCAGCTTCTCCTGTCCAAGCACATCAACGCGGTCCAGGCCAGGGAGCTGCTTGCTGACACTTTGGTTGACAAACCAGGGGAAGACCAGGGGCACGGGGTCCGGCTGGTCAGTTTGAAGGGAGTGGGAGCCGGAGATTGGCTACACGCAGTGCCAACGAGGTCTGACCTTACATTTGCCCCTGGTCAGATCTCGTTGGCGCTCGGGTTCCGCCTCGGGATGGCCCTACCAGTCACGGTCAAGTGCCCCTGTAAGCGCGACAACTCGGATATCAAGGACACTAGTCTGGCGAATCACCTGCTCCGGTGTGGGGAAGGGGGTGATGTGGTGAGGACGCACAATGCCCTGGTCTACACGGCGCTGAGAATGGCAAAGGAGGCGGGCTTCAATACTTTCCACGAGACGTCGGTGTTTTCCCCCACGGTGCACCGCAAGAGGGCGGACCTCGCGTTCCAGGACAGGGAATCGGCGGAGACCTGGGTCACGGATGTAACGGTGACATACCCGGTGCTGCAGAAGAGGGACCCTAGGGTGCGGAAGCCGCCTGGGTGGGCCGCCAGGGAAGCTTCTGAGAAGAATCATTGCCTGTACGAAGGCCGGCCTGACTATGTGGGGTGTTTCGGCCTTGCAACGGAGACCTGCGGGGCATTGGCGACTGACACGGTGCAGTTCCTTAGGTTGCTAGCTGTAGCCACGGCGAAGAAGAAGTTTCGGCAGGGGCGTCTCACTACAACAGCCTCTAGGCTCAATGCACACTACCGACAGCGCTGGTCGGTTATGCTACAGCGCTCCCAGGCCATCTCATCCTCAACAAGTCTAACATGGCAGCGAAAGTGGCTTTCCCACAGGCTGCCATGGACCCCTGGGAAACAAGCCTATGGGACTTGTGGCAGGTGCTGGAAGACGACATGGCTGGAGTGTAGAGGCTGGTGGGAGATACATAGGAGTGAAGGTGAGGGGAAGAGGGAGGCGGTATCAAGGACAGGGTTACTAAACAGCTGTAGTGGTTGTTAGCAGTTGTTCAAGAGGGTGACCTGTATGCCGGCCAGCTTGCTCGTATGCCCGTAGCTTGATTGCTTGCTTACTTGCTCGCCAAAGTGCATAGAGTAGCCAACCTGTCTAGAACCTGCCGTTGCATGCCTGTACCCTTTTATCAATGAAGGACCGCTTGAGAGATGGTGCGGTGAGACGTACGGTGTGCTGGCCACAGACACGGTTCAGTTCCTGCGGCTTCTGGCAACGGCAGCAGCTAAGAAGAAATTCCGCCAAGGTCCCCTCACGACAACCGCCAGCCGTCTCATTGCCCACTACAGGCAGAGATGGTCAGTCTTGCTGCAACGGTCACAGGCAACATCCTTCATCAACAAGTCAAACATGGCGGCAAAGGCGGCGTACCCCCAGGCCCCTGCAGACCCTTGGGAGTCGAGCCTAGGGGAGTTGTGGCAGGTTCTTGACGATGACCTAGGGGGGATGTAGACCGGGGCAGGGGATGGATCGTGATAGCAGGAGCAGGGCGGATGTGGCAGCTAGCAAGGGGAGAGGATCTTAGGTGACATGGTGAAGATGGTGGCACCAAGCGGGCCTAGCTCCCCGGCTTAAACTTTCAGCTGGGTATGTGTGATTGTATTGCCTTTCCACCCCCCAGCATGCTTGCCTAGGATAACCTACTTGTCTAAAACCAGCACCCGCATGCTTGTACCTTATATCAATATAAATGCATGACTGTTTGAGAGCTGGTGCACATGGGACATCGCCCCCCTCCAGCGAATGGACCAGCCATTTCTGGTGCGGCGGATGCCCCCTAAGATCCTGGAGAACTACACCATGTGCCTACTGGCGCCCCTCCTGCAATTGGCTACCAAGCCAGACTGTGTGGGGGCGTGGACCCGGCTAGGGCGGTACTGCGTGAGTTAGCGCCTACAATCCGCCAGTTCTTCCTCCCCGTCCAGTACGGCGCCTCAGAACCGTTTGTAGGAACGCTCCTACCGTTCGTAGGAACGCTCTATGACTCCCCCTCGTGACTCTTGGTCGACCCGGCCTTGGGAGTGGGCCACATCATGAGCTCCCGCGGCCTTCATACAGGCGGTGTTTTTTCTTCGAGGCCTCCTTGGCCGCCCACCCCAAAGGCTTCCACACCCTAGGATCCCTGTTATTGAGCACGGACTATGTGGGGTTCTTTGGGCTAGCTGTGGAGACCTACGGGGCTGTGGCGACAGACACAGTGCAATTCCCCCGTCTGTTGGCAGCGGCGGCGGCAGGGGCCCCTAACTACAACGGCCTCTAGGCTCAATGCACACTACCAACAGTGCTGGTCGGTCATGTTGTAGCGCTCCCAAGCCACCTCGCTCCTCAACAAGTCAAACATGGCAGCGGAAGCGGCTTTCCCACAAGCACCCATGGACCCCTGGGGACCGAGCCTAGGAGACCTGTGGCAGGTGCTTGAAGATGACATGGGGGGGGGGGGGGGGGGGGGGTTGTAGAACCCGGGGAGAGATGGACAGGGCTGGAGAAGAAGAGAAGGTGGGGGCGTTAGAGAGGACAGCGGTACCGAGGTAATGTAGCGGTAGTTTCTAGGGGTTTCGAGGGGTTGTCTTGATGCCGGCC